CCACTCCCGCTGTCACCTGCTTCCCCATCTCCACGTCCCAGGCCCGCACGGTCTGGTCAGGACTGGCCGACACGATGCTTTGGCCGTCCGACGTCCACTGCAGCTATAGCACAGCACACTGAATCCATGCAAACCACCCCACTCCACCTCTCACCTGCTTCCCCGTCTCCACGTCCCATGCCCGCACGGTCTGGTCAGGACTAGCAGACACGATGCTGTGGCCGTCCGACGTCCACTGCAGCTCGAGAATCACATTCTTGTGGCCCTTTAGCACCATGTAGTTGTCGCACTCGCCCTCTATGCGCCACAGGACTGGTGGGGGAGGGGGATACGGAAAAGATATTAAGAGAGGGTATAAGGGGTGTATTCTCCTTCTCTGCAGCTCCAGAAAGACATTCTTGTGGCCCTTGAGCACCATGTAGTTGTCGCACTCGCCCTCTATGCGCCACAGGACCGGTGAGAGAGGAGGGATGGGAGAAGAGGGTTTACAGAGAAGGGATACAGGAGTGTTATTTTCCTTCACTGCAAATCGACAATGACGTTCTTGTGGCCCTTTAGCACCATGTAGTTGTCGCTAGCACTCGCCCTCTATGCGCGACAGGAGTGCCGATATAAGAAGAACACGAAAGTGGGGGAGGCGGGGCAACGAGGTAGTGTGTTCTCCAATGAAGGTGGTGCAGGTGAGATGCTACACACGCACTCACCACTTGCGCACTCATCATCCATGAACTCACCACTTTATGCTTTCGTCTTGTGCCCTGCTGTTTAGTAGCGCACCATCCACCTCCCTTTAGAGACCAACACAACACTGACTTGCACGCTATACACATGCGCACCCCACTTAAAATGACTCTTCCTGGGTCATTCGCTGTGTGTGTGTGGGCATGCACTAGGTGAAGGGCATTGACATCCGAGAGATCTTCCAAGCAGCAGGAGCTTTCGCCCCTCCTGGGGTTGGGGGCTCGCAGGCGGGGCGAAAGCGCCTGCTGCTTGGAAGATCTCTCGGATGTCAATGCCCTTCACCTAGTGCATGCCCACACACACAGAGTAAATGATCCGGGAGCAGTCATTTTAACTGGGGTGCGCAGGTGTATAGTGTGCAAGTCAGTGTCAGTTTTTAGGGGGAGGTGGATGGTGCGCTACTAAACAGCAGGACGCAGGACGATAGCATAAAGTGGTGAGGGCACGCGTGATGAGTGCGCAAGTGATGAGTGCGCGTGTAGCATGCAACTCACTCAGAAAAAGTAGTGCACTCATTCAAAGTAGTAAGCTTTCACAAAATAGTACATTACACAAGAAATCACACTCACATATCTCCTTGTCTTGTGAACCCGAAGCAATGACCTCCCCATCCGGACTGAACTTCATGGTGAATACCCCCGCCTGGAGGGAGGAGTGGAGGGATGGGCGCATGCGAGAATGGGGCGCATGGGGGAATGGGTTCGTAAGGGGGATGTGTGCAAAAGGGGATGGGCACAAGGGAGGAGGGGTTCATGGGGGGATAGGCGCATGGGGGGATGGGCGCATTGATGGGGGATGGGCGCATTGATGGGGGATGGGCGCATTCATGGGGGATGGGCGCATTCATGGGGAAAAGGCAAAAGAAGGAATATGATTCCTTAGTTGAATTCTTACAAAATCGCATAATTTCTGGTATTTATGGCAAAGTTTTAAGCGAATGGGGGAATAGGTTCATGGAGGGATGGGCGCATAAGGGAATAGGCGCATGGGGGGATGGGATGTGTGGGGGAATAGGCACATGGGGGGATGGGATGTGTGGGGGAATAGGCACATGGGGGGATGGGATGTGTGGGGGAATAGGCACATGGGGGGATGGGATGTGTGGGGGAATAGGCACATGGGGGGATGGGATGTGTGGGGGAATAGGCACATGGGGGGATGGGATGTGTGGGGGAATAGGCACATGGGGGGATGGGATGTGTGGGGGAATAGGCACATGGGGGGATGGGATGTGTGGGGGAATAGGCACATGGGGGGATGGGCGCATGGGGGAATAGGAGCATGGAGGGATCGGCGCATGGGGGAATAGGCGCATTGGGGGATGGGACGTGTGGGGGGTTAGACAAAGAGGGGATGGGCAAATGGAAAATTGGCCCACTTGTGTGAGTAGCAGTACTCACCGCATGGCCTGTGAGCAGCATGATTGGAGCGAGCAGCGAGGACGTCCTCTTGACTCCCTGCACGGCAAATGACAACGTACAAAGGAAGGCCGGACAATGCAACACACATCGCACAATGAGATGTATTTTGAGGTGGCTCAAGCAGCGACGAGGTCCTCTTCACTCCCTGCACAGCAAATGGCAACGTACAAAGGAAGGCAGGACAATGCAACGCCATGCCATGCCATGCCATGCTGTGTCATGCAACACACATCACACAATGGGATTGATACAAGCAGTGGCGCATGTACCGATGGTCAAATCGGTGGTCATCTTGGTGACACGCCAGATAGCCAGCTGAAAGCAGCAAACCCACAACGACCAATTTGACCATAATCCACAATCTTTGGTAGGTCTATCCTTAGCAGGTCAACGGTCAACCTAACGGCCACAAGAGAACACAAAGTACTAGGTTTAGGACGTAAATGTTCCAAGTGTAACTCTGTGACAGAGGAAAAAAAAGGATCCCAAAGGCGTACCCAGGATAATAATCAACGGCTATATACAGGCTGCAAAACACATTTTTGAACCCCTGATGCCAGCGCCCTCCCATGTTCAGCCCAAGCGGAACATGCTGATATGATAAATAAGGATTTGAGGTCCGAAGCGCGGGGTGTTTCTTACGTCGGTCAGAAAGGCCACCTTTCCGCGCTGACGGCCTTTAGATGTATGTTACGCGCATCATACGAGGAGATTAAGAGAGGCCAAATAATCTCGGCAATGGCTTACGTCTTTAGTGACAGTTAATTGCTTCCCCTTGTCGCCATCTGCTCCAGATGACGCTGGTACCAGATCCGTCCGTTGCCGCTTCGCCGATACCAGCTCCTGCCCCTCGGGACCATCGCCGTCGCGCTTTTCCGGCATTCCGTCGCTTCGCTAATTCACAGGAAGGCCAAGCTAAGCAAAGGGAGACGAGGTTTCTGGAAACAATACGACAAGAACAGGACGAGTATATGCTCTGGTAACTCGACAGCGGATACTCGAAAGGAAGGTGAAAACGGTCGCTGGATGAAATCACGTTACAAGGACAAATTGTAACGCCTGTGGGCTGTGATAAGGGCACTCCGCTGTGCCAAATAACACCCTCGTTTTGACCCAGTGGGTAGCGAGGTGTTACATTTGGAATCAGAGCCTAGGGTTCGAATCCCGGCTGGACCACACTTTCCGCCTTTGGCGAGAACTGAAGTGCGGTTGTAACCAGCTCGAACCCAGCGAACGATCCTCCGCTGGCCTGAGCAACCAGCGAAGTCGCAGCCAGCAGCACTGCGAAATCTAGGTCCCAGCGGCAGGGGGCCGACTTCCTGAAGTCCAGGGCCAACGGGGACGTTGGCACCAGGGGGGACGAGTGTAACGCCTGTGGGCTGTGTTAAGGGCACTCCGCTGCGCCAAATAACACCCTCGTTTTGACCCAGTGGGTAGCGAGGTGTTACACAAATCGTCGTGGGTAAGGACACACGAAAGATGCGAGGAAGCTTAGTAGTTCTTGCAAACAAAAACCCCTAAGAGACCAGGGCGTGATTACACGATGCTATTCGGAGATGAGTTTCCTTCTCAACTCCGCTTCACCTGGACCAGATCACAAATGCGACGCTTGCGATATCCCAAATAGCTTGAACAGAAAGTTCGCGAGCACCCAATTGTGCTTCTCGACTTATCTTACGAGATCAGGCGTAACAGAACGACGTCGAATCAACGACTTTACGGTTACCCGCTCGCCCATTATGGGCTCCTCGCAAGGCAGCCACGGCTTCTGAAACTAAAACAGTGTTCTTATCTAGTCAGTACTTCACATTCCCAAAGCTGGTGGAGGAGGTGTGCGATAGGGGCTATCTCGTGAAATCGTTCATTGCTGCGGCGGGCGATTCTATCCCTCCTCCGTAACACGCTGGCTCTTGCTTCTACTCCGCCACACGAGAGAAGCGGCATTGCTTCAATTCCATCTGTGGGAATAATTGGCTCTATTTTTGCAAGGCTCGCGTGCAACTTCAACTAGACCGCGTTTTGCGCCGCGTTTTTTTTTCCGACGAGTCGCGAATGCCGTCTCGATTCCAGCATTAAGACTGGGTTCAAGGCCGCTACCTCCCGTCAGTCCTATTTGTCAAGCCCATAAGACCGCAAGATCTCCCGTTTGGTTCTTGTCCTTCAACCGTTTCATCGGGCTTTTCGTTTTGTTTTGTTTTATTATTATTATTCGACTCGCTTATCTCAAGTCTCATCAAAATGGAGCTTCGTGCGGTGGACCTTACTCACGTTCGTTACTATCACGATGACCCTTTCGGTGTAATCATGGCATGGGCCTCGCTCGTCCCCGTATTCATCGCCTTCGGCTGCTTCCCCACCCACGTGGTTTTCCGCCGTGATTTGCGGACCATGTTCTTCATGCTCGGCCTCCTATTGGACGACACGTTCAACCACATCATCAAGCACGCGCTGGAGATGCCGCGTCCGCCGCACACGTGCGTCGCGCTCGAGGTGTGCGATTCGCACGGAATGCCGTCCGCGCATTCGCAGTTCATGGCGTTCTTCGCGACGTTCGCGACGTGGCTCGTGTGTTACAAGATGGATTACGAAGACGAGAGGTGGCGAAGGATAACGGCCATTCTCCCCTGGCCCTTCACGTTTCTCACCATGGCCTCGCGGGTGTACCTCGGTTACCATACGATACCGCAGGTGAGCTCATATGGGGTATGGACGCAAATGGGGTGTTTTACTCAAGAAACTCATTGTGATAAGCATAATGTGGAAGGTTGTCATCGAACCAGTGAGCCAGTGGCCAATAAACGGCACGGCTAACCATTTGACATGACACAACCGTATTGCATGGCACGGCTACCCGAAATTGCTCATCCACCTGACAGCACATCGTCAAACCTTCACAACTCCCCTCCCGTCTTCCCACGCTTGCCAATTCCTCCATCCTCTCACAACATGTCTAAAACCACCTCTTCCATGTCGCCCTTCATTCGCTTGCCCCCTCCTCTTCATGTCCCCCTCTCGTTTCATTCCCCCTTCCCTTCCTCATGCCTTCCCTCCTCTTTCATGCCCCTCATCCCCTCATCCCCACCTTCTTTCATGCCCCCTAACCACCCCACCCCCCCACCCCCTCCCCTTTCTTTTCATGCCCCTCATCACCCCATGTCACCCACCTCTTTCATGCCCCCACCCACTCATGTCCCTATCCCACGCGCCCCTTCTTTCATGCCCCTCATTACCTCATGTCACCCACCTCCCTCATGCCAGTGCGGGTTGTGCCCCCGGCATTCACAACCCCCCTGCCCGCTCCCAAACCATCTAGTGAAGTGAACTGCCGCAAACGGATGCTTGCTCCTCCCCACCCAACCATTTCAGGGAGCGCGCATCAAGACCGACTGCCACATTTCCCCCATCCCCATCCCCATCTCCCCCATCCCCATCCTCATCCGCATTCACATGCGCATGTCACAGCCACCCTAATTCATGGTCTCGTTCCCCTCCTACCTCATCCCCTTTCCCGTCCCCAAGATCTTTGCAGGTTTCACCCTGGCCACCCCCTCGGCCTCCGTCTGGTTCTGCTTGTCATGAGGCAAATTCTAAATCGACAAAAAGATCGTCTGATTCTACGCGGTGCACCGTGTGTGTCTACCTACGTAGTCGTCTGGTTCTATGTGTGTGCCCGTGCATTAACAGCGACTTCATCCAAATACTCGTAACTCCACCCCTTCCCCGCCCGTCAGGTCCTCGCAGGCTTCACTTTGGGCATTCTCTCTGCGTCCACCTGGTTTCACCGGGTGCACTGTGTGTCTACCTGTGCATTAACGGCAATTGCCACATTTACATTCTTCTATCTCACGCTCGCGTGCTCATGTCCTAGCAGGCTTCACCCTCTGCATCCTCTCAGCGTCCACCTGGTTCTACGTTGTGCACCGTGTGTTTGCGCCCTTATTCCCTGCCATCTCAGTTCTGTTCGTACCTTCACCCTCCATTTACCCATCCCTCTCCCCCTCCCAGGTTCTAGCAGGCTTCACCCTCGGCATCCTCTCGGCATCCACCTGGTTCTACGTGGTGCACCGTGTGTTTGCGCCCTTCTTCCCAGCCATCTCCGACAGCGCGTGGGGGCGGTACCTGTGCATCAAGGATGACTGCCATATTCGCAACGTGGCTGTCTTTGAGTACCTCAACTCACAGCGAGCACGACAGGAGCTGCGAGTGGGAAAGGACAAGGGAGCGAGGGATGAGCAGCAGAAAGCTCAGAAGGCAGAGCAGGAGGAATTGCTGGAGAAATCGCAGGAGAAAGTGCAGCAGGAGGAGGAGGATGAGCAGCAGGGGGTTAAGGAGCAGCAGGGGGTTAAGGAGCAGCAGGCTGCGCAGGAGAGTGGAGGTGGTGGTTCTGCCTAGACGGAATAGAAATGGAAGGCTTTAGCGGGGGAAGTCCCACGTTTTGGAGAGCTGAGGCTCGTTACTCGGGCCTACGCCGTACGGAATAGGCCAAAATGCTTCCTCCCCTTCCCCCCCCTCCACCCCCCCCACCCCCCCCCCCCCCCCCCTCCTCCCCCCCGCCCCCCCCCCCCCCCCCTTTTGTTTATTTTGTTTTGTAGCATTTTATGTGTTGAAAATACTCTATATGCACTTTCTCTTGCACAAAATGCGTTCTCAATGTTTGTAAAGATATGAATGTACAATGAGTGACTTATAGAGTGTTGCCATTTGCACTGTATTCGAAACTGCACCCGCCAATGTCTGGTGGCAGTTGACTTGCAGTCCCGTTGACTGACGTGTTTGGTTTGAATATCAGTCGCACATTTTCAACTCTCGGTCGGTGACTATGTACAGCTGAACCAGACATACTTGGTCAGCAACTTGACTTCGACTCGCGATCCACGTATCCTATAAGAAGCCATTGACTTACCTAGCATCCTGTTAGAATGAACAAGAGTGTGTGAACTAGAAAGGTTGGGGATACAAGTAGGAAACCCTAGAGTAATGTACCCCCTAAAGGCTAACCCACTGTAGCCTACACAGCAGTAACATATATAATGTTTGACACACCCCCATAGGCAAAGTGGGGGAGAGCAAGGGGTCACAAGACCAGTCAGAGCAAAGCAAAGCAAAACAAGCTCAGGGTGGATCTCAAGGATACCACACAAATTCCGAGCACAAGCAAGTGGTCACAAGACCAGTTCACATGCAGTTTGATAATATAACAAGAGGTACAGTGATCACAACCTAGCAAGTGTAAGCATGCAGGTATATATATAGAGATCACAGTACAAGCAGAGTCAAGAAGTGAGCAAGTGAGGGACAGTAGGCACAAGGCCTAGAACAGTACAGAAACGCTGATGATCACAAGGCGGAAGCGCCTTGGTGAACACATCAGCAGTGTTGGCCCGAGTGGCCACGTACGAAAGACGAAGCTGACCACGCTGCTGCAGCTCTCGAGCAAGGAAGTAGCGCAGAGCGATGTGCTTCGTTCTGTGCTCCAGTCTGTGCTCCTGACACAAGGCAAGGGCTGCCTTGTTGTCGACGTACAGCACTGGAGGAGAACGAGGCCGCTCGCCCAGGTTGGTCAGCAGGTAGGTGAGCCAGCGTAACTCCTGTGCAGCCATGGCTGTGGCGTAGATCTCAGCCTCACAACTGGAGCTGAGAACTGAAGACGAGCGAGTAGAACGCCAAGAAACTGAACCACAGCCAAGACTGAAGGTGTAACCCTGAGACGACCGCTGCGTAGCCTGGTCGTCAGCCCAAGAAGCGTCTGAGTGCCCAGTGAGGACAACGTCTCTCCGACGTACTGCACAAGTAGCGCAACACCCTCTTAGCGGCATCCATGTGCTCCTTCCGGTGACGGCCAGGAGCGACATAGCGTGCTAGGATGCTAAGAGGGTATGCAAGGTCAGGTCGAGTGCAGGTCATCAGGTACATGAGGCAGCCCACAAGCTCTGGATACGGGCCACTCGGCTCTACGGACTCATCCGAAGGCAGAGCTGAGAGCGAGTGACCGGTAGGCAGAGGAGTGGGCTGAGGCGAGGAGTACGTGAAGCGGAAGCGCTGAAGGACCTGCTGCACCATGTGTGACTGAGTCAAGGTGATGGTGCGCTGTGCTCTGTCCCGGGTGATCCGCAAGCCAAGATAGCTTGTCAGTTCACCCAGGTCTGTGCACGTGTGTCTCTTCTGCAGCTCCGACTTCACGTGGGCGAGTGCCTCAGTGTCAGCAGTAGCAAAGACCAGGTCGTCTACGTACACTAGAACGTAGAACGGCGGCAGAGTGGTGTTGGTGCGTAGAAACAGCGACGGGTCAGCAGTGGAAGGAGCAAACCCAAGAGCAGCAAGAGTAGTCCTCAGTGTGTCGTGCCACTCACGAGGTGCCTGACGGAGACCGTAGACTGGCCGCCGGAGGCTCCACTGGGTACCAGGAGGGAACGACCCAGTGAAGCCAGGTGGGCGGCGCAGCCAGATCTCCTCGTGCAGGCTGCCCTGTAGAAACGCAGTGCTGAAGTCAAGAGAGTGGAGCTCGTAGTCACGCTGAGCGGCGACGTGCAGGAGAACCCGAAGAGTGGTCATCTTCGGGGTCGGGGAGAAGGTCTGGAAGAAGTCAACTCCCTCTCGCTGACTGAAGCCTCGTGCAACGTACCGCGCCTTGAAGACAGGCGGAGAACCCGGTGGCCGCTTCACTCTGAAAAACCACATGCCACTGACGATGTTCGCCCCAGGTGGGGGAACCTCGTCGACGTAGGTGCCTGTGGACTTCCAGGAAGCCATCTCTGCGTCCATGGCTGTCTGCCACTGAGAGGAGTAGGGACCCTCCATCGCCTCTGCGTAAGAGCGTGGGGTCGGGATGTCTGGTGCATCCGGGTCTCCCTCAGGGGCAATCAGCATGGACACGAGATGAGGTAAAGCAGCAGCAAAGCACTCAAACTCCTCCTGTCTGTCCTCAAGGACGTCCGTGCCAAGAGCACACTCACCCCCGACGGACGCAGGACAGACAGACTCAGACTCAGCAACAAGGCTAGCGGCGTAGTCTAGACGACAGGCAGCAGCAAAGTCAACAAGCTCAGCGACTAGAGCAGACGCAGCAGAGGACTCAAAGGTAGGGTCAGTGACAACAGTAGCGAGGAAACGCGTGACAGTAGGACTGGCAGCACGAGCAAGGTCTGACGGCGGGTCAGCAACGTCAGGAAGAGAGGATGCAGGAGGAGACGGCAGAGGGACACGCTGTGGAGCAGTGGAAGGACGCAGGGTCATATAGTGAGTGCCAAGGACAGGAGGAGGACGCTGACGCGGAGCACGACGACCAGCGCGGACAGCGCGGACAGGTGACTCTGGACGCGACTCAAGCGACTCTGGACTAGACTCAGGCGACGGAGGACGAGACTCAGGCTCACGACGCTCCGTAAAACTACCCGTCGGCGCAGTGTAAGGAGAAGGACCAGGCAGCGGAGAGGCAGGCTGTAACTGTGACTGCGACTGGACAGGCGGTGGACTCAGTAGGGGAGGAGTAGGATCAGTAGAGGGCGGGAGACCAAGAACCTGCTGAAGGAGCGGATCGTAGTACGGCCGCGGCCGCTCAGCACCTCCAGCTCCAACCCCCTCAGCAGCTCCAGTCCCAGCAGCTCCAGTACCTCCAGTACGAGCACCTCCAGGACCAGCGGCTCCAGCAGCTCCAGCACCTGCAGCACCACCAGCAGCACCAGCACCTCCAGCAGCTGCAGCACCAGCAGCACCTCCAGCAGCTCCAGCAGCACCACCAGCAGTGGTAGTGCCTCCAGCAGCTCCAGCAGCAGCAGCACCTCCAGCAGCTCCAGCAGCACCAGCACCAGCAGCACCTCCAGCAGCTCCAGCAGCACCAGCACCAGCAGCACCTCCAGCAGCGCCAGCAGCACCGCCAGCAGCAGCAGCACCTCCAGCAGCTCCAGCAGCACCAGCACCAGCAGCACCTCCAGCAGCTCCAGCAGCACTAGTAGCACCAGCACCAGCAGCACCTCCAGCAGCGCCAGCAGCACCACCACCAGCAGCAGCACCTCCAGCAGCTCCAGCAGCACCAGCACCAGCAGCACCTCCAGCAGCGCCAGCAGCACCGCCAGCAGCAGCAGTACCTCCAGCAGCTCCAGCACCAGCAGCACCAGTACCAGCACCAGCTCCAGGGTCCGCGACACTAGTAGCGCCACTCCGGAGACTGCAGCGCCGAGCGTACCACTCTCGGAGCCGCTGGGGAGAGGGCGGCTCCCGCCTAGGAGGGGAAGCACGAGCACCAGCTCCAGCAGCACCCCTAGCTCCAGAAGCACCCCTCCTGAGGCTGCAGTACTGTAAGTACCACTCACGCAGCTGCTGTGAGGAGGGAGCGCCTCCAGGTGTAGCACGCTCAGTCGCAGCACCCTCTGGCTCAGTACCCTCAGACGTAGCACTCCCAGGCTCAGCACCCCCAGACTCAGCACCCGCAGGCTCCGCACCCCCAGGCTCAGCACCCCCAGACTCCGCAACCACAGGCTCCGCACCCCCAGGCTCCGCACGCTCAGGCTCAGCACCCCTAGCAGGACGAGAGTCGACAGCTACCTCGACAGGCTCAACCGGGTCTACCTGGGACACACCTGAGGGAGCGGCACCCTGAGGGGGGAGGGGGTCTACCACAGCAGCACCTGGCGCGAGGAAGAGAGGCGTGGGGGGGAGCGGGGCAGTGCGGTAGGGGAAGAGGCGGTAGTAGGGCACCGACTAGTCAAAAGTGACGTCCTGAGAGGGCAGGACACGGCGCGAGGTGGCGTGGTAAAACTGCCAACCAGACGCGTCCGGGACAAAGCCAAGGAAGACACAAGGAACATCGCGGGAGGAGAGCTTGTCCGCGGACGTATCGCAAACAAAAGCTCGAGATCCCCAGACCCGAAAACGCGACGCATCGCCAACCTCTCCCATCCAACGCAGTGTCGGCGAAGTCTCCGGAACGGAGACACGGGGCCAGAGGTTGAGCTGATGCGCAGCGTATCGGACCGCAAACGGCCACAGAAAGTGGGGGGCAGCCGCATGGATCAAGGAGGTACGAGCGACCTCTATGACCAAGCCAATGCGGCGCTCAGCAACCCCATTCTGCTTTGGAGAGGCCGGAAGCGTGAACGACTGGCGGATGGCGTGCTCCGCACAGTAGGCTGCCAAGAGGTCGGAGGAGAACTCACCACCTCTGTCAGAGTGCAGACACAGGACAGGAGAGTCCGAGTGGAACCACTCGCTGAGCTGGAGACGAGAAGCGCGGATCCAAGGGATCAAAACATCAGGGACCTCACCCTTGGTGCGCAAGGGGAAGACCGTGGTGTAGCGCGAGTAGTCGTCAACAACTATCAAGAAGTACCTCTCCTGACCCTGTCCACGGACGCGGGCTGGGCCCCACACGTCCATGTGGAGTGTCTGCAAGGGAGCAGTTGTCGGGGGAAACGAGGAGGAGTGAGGAGCGGCGCGCTGACGCCCCTCGACACAGGGAAGACAGGGAGGAGCAGGCGAGGGTGGGAGGGGAGGGAGAACCCTGGGAAGACCAGAGACAAGGTACCGTTTGTGCATGCCACGAAGGCGCTGCACTGACGGGTGACCAAGGCGGTGGTGCCAGAGGACGGTCTCGTGCGCTAGAGAGCGACACGAGCAGGGGGCCGACAGCTGACCTGACGCAGACGCAGACGCAGCTACCTGAGGGGACTCAGTGGTCAGTGTGTACAGGTCCGACCCCGGCTGCCGAGTGAAGGTAGCCAGGTGACGGCCCGTCCGAGCACACGTGCAGTGTGTCACGCGCTCGTAGGCAGGGGTGAACTGGTGGACACCCCCGTCCTGGAGCGCACAACCCGCCACCAAGTTCGTAGAGAACGAGGGGAGGTGGAGACCTGACAGTGTGCCCGACGGAACCGCAGGACAAGGGAGGACAGTGGAGGAGGTCGCAATGACCGGACCCCCAGAGGGGTCAGCGAGGGACACAGCAACTGGCCGAGCAAGCTGCTCAAGGGCAGTGCGGTCACGAAAGAAACAGCGGGAAGCACCCGAGTCCAGTGTGAAGGTGTGTAGTGCCTCAGTAGACGTAGTACCAGCAGGCGCAGACTCACGAGCACCTAGAGCAGCAGCCTCACCAGCACCTAGAGCAGCAGCCGCACTAGCACCTAGAGCGGCAGCCTCACCAGTACCTAGAGCAGCAGACTGGATACCGGGGTCAGGCGGCACACACAGGTGACAGGCACTCTCAGCACCAGTAGGACGACGCTGTAGCTGCACCTGGCCACTACCAGAAGCTCCCGAACTACCCACTCCAGTGCGACTCCCACTACGGCCACCTCGATAACCCCAACTAGCGTACCACTCACGAAGCTGCTGGGGCGAAAGAGCCTCGCGGGGACTACGCTGCAGCTGCACCTGGCCACTACCAGAAGCTCCCGAACTGCCCACTCCAGTGCGACTCCCACTACGGCCACCCCGAGAACCCCAACTAGCGTACCACTCACGAAGCTGCTGGGGTGTGAGGGACTCACGCGGACGGCCCTGGAGCTGCATCTGGCCAAGCCAGGTGCAGCAGTAGCAGCAGTAGCAGCAGTAACAGTAGTAGCAGGAGGAGCAGTAAAAGCAGTAGCAGCAATAGAAACGGTAGCAGCGCGGGCAGGGCAGTGCTCACCAGTGGTGGTAAGGGCAGGCGCAAGACGGCGGCGACAGCGGGGCCGCCACAGCTGCAGGGCGGGGCCGGGCCACGGCAGTAGCTGCTCCAGGGGCCAGGGGCGGCTGCTGCAGGGGCGGCTGCGCAAGTGGCGGCTCCTGCAGTGGCGGCTGCTCCAGGTGGCCAGGGGCGGCTGCTGCAGGGGCGGCTGCTCCAGGGGCCAGGGGCGGCTGCAGGAGAGGCAGCTGCTCCAGGGGCCAGGGGCGGCTGCTGCAGGGGCGGCTGCTCCAGGGGCCAGGGGCGGCTGCAGGTGCGGCTGCTCCAGGGGCCAGGGGCGGCTGCTGCAGTGGTGGCTGCTCCAGGGGCCAGGGGCGGCTGCTGCAGGGGCGGCTGCTCCAGAGGCGGCTGCTCCAGGGGCCAGGCGCGGGGTAGGTCAGGGCGACGTAGCGGGCAGCGGGCAGGGGCGACGTGCGGGCAGGGGCGACGCGGCGGGCAGGGCGACGCGGCAGGCAGGGGCGACGCCGCGGGCAGGGGCGACGCGGCGGGCAAGGCGACGCGGCGGGCAGGGGCGACGCCGCGGGCAGGGGCGACGCGGCGGGCAGGGCGACGCGGCGGTCGGGCAGAGGCTGCGCGCGGGCCTGACGGGCCTGCAGGGGCGGCTCTCGGGCCTGCAGAGGCGGCTCGGGGGCCTGACGGGTCTGCAGAGGCGGCTCGGGGGCCTGACGGACCTGCAGGGGCGGCTCGAGGGCCGTACTAGCTTGCAGGGGCGTCGCACTGGCCTAGGGCAGCAGGAGGCAGCGCAAGGGCTGCAGGACGGCACGCGGGCAGAACGAAGGGCGGGGCGCGCGAGGGCGCACTAGCAGAAAAAAAAGGGTGCACGAGGGCGCACGAGCAGAGAGAGGCGCACGAGGGCGCACGTAAGGTAGGGCGCACGAGGGCGCGTCTAGCGGAATGGTGGGCCCGTAGTAGAAAGCGATCCTAGGTGGCAACCTAGGCTCGTGATACCATGTTAGAATGAACAAGAGTGTGTGAACTAGAAAGGTTGGGGATACAAGTAGGAAACCCTAGAGTAATGTACCCCCTAAAGGCTAACCCACTGTAGCCTACACAGCAGTAACATATATAATGTTTGACACATCCCACTCACCACCAACTTCCATTTCATTCTCCCAGACAGAGTTTAAGTGACTTAGCGACCCAAGCTTAGGTCCCAAAACAGAGCTACGACACCAGCCATGGCTTTCAGAGCGCTCGTCCTCTCGTGCATCCTCCTCCTCGTGTCGACGCCCGCGTTGGCGCAGCGCGGTCCGCCTCGCGGAGGTCCTCCCGACGGCCGTGGACCAGGGGGGGCGCGCGGAGGCCCTGGCGCCGGTCCTGGCAGTCCCGATGGCCCTGGCGGGCCTGGCGGAAAGCCGCCACACGGTCCGCCGCTAAACCTGACGGCCGTCGGGAATCTGACGGCCGATGTCGGCGCGCGACTGGCCAACTGCACGGCTGATCAGAAGATCCTTGACGGCCGTTTCCACCTCGCCATCTTCAAGTAGGCCTCGGTGCCTTTTTTTTTTTTTTTTTTTTTTTTTTTTTTTCGCCTTACTATCGCGTGTGTTTTCCGCACCGTCTTTCAGCGACATTGGCTTCGCACACGCCTCTCGCCTCAGCTGCACTCAAATCTATCCCAAAACCCCATAGAAGGACTTCTTCTGATCGTCGAGCTCATTGCGTCTTCCCCTCCTCCCTTCCCGTGTTCCAGGAACGCCACCGGCAATTACAACCTCCTCGTCGAGGCGCTCCTGGTGGATGCGGCGGGCGGTCCGCCCGACTCGCTCGCGATCGTGAAGGGCGCTGCGTGCGACGCCGCCGCGACAGACGTGCTCGCGCTGCCGCTCGCCGCGTCGGACTGGCAGCAGCGCGCGGGGTGGTGGCTGCTGCACGCGGAGGCGCGCCTCGACGCGTTCCTCGAGAACGCGGACGCCGCCACCCTCGACGCGCTGCTCGTGGTGCTCCCCAACGCCCCGCTTCCGCGCAAGAGCGGCGGAGGCGCCCGCGGAGGCAGCGCCGGGGGCGCGCAGAGCGGGAAGGGTGGGAGGCGCATGGGGCGGGAGCTGCTGATGCGCGCATTCGGCCGCCCTGCCAGGCAGGGGGGGCAGAAGCAGGGAGGCCAGCAACAGCAAGGAGGGCAGCACCAGCAGGGGGGAGCGCAGCAGCCGCCAGCAGGTGGTTTTTCAGGTGGATTTCCAGGTGGTGATGGTGGAGTGAACAGCACAGTGAGCGGGTATGCTGTGCTGGCGGGCAGCACTGCAGCCGGTGTGACGTGGGGCGGGCAGCTCATGGGGGTCAAGATGCCTGACGCTGCTGCAGCTGCAGCTGGTGCTGCTTGATGTGGCCATTCGATAGTTTGACAGGGTTTTGGGGTTTCAACCCAGCCTGTTGCAGCCGGGAAATGCTGCTGCTTGGATGATTAGTGATTACTGCCTTGACGACAAGGCGGTGTAGGCCTGGTTGGCTGCTGCTGTTGCAGTTCAGGGCTGCTGCAGACATGGTTCTGTTGGTTGGGATAGCTTTGCTTTGGTTCTTCCTACATCCCAGTAGGTCAAAGCATCAGGAGCAGGAATGTTGGCAAGGCATCAGGGACACCAGTTGACTTGCCAATCTTCCTACCCCTGATTGTGAGGTTTAGGGTGATTGTCACTCGTGTGTGTGTGTGTTTAATCTTAAATAGGGCTTGCATTCTCAGTTTTTGTTTGTGCTAGACGCGCTTGCTGGACGGCAGTAGCCTTTCCCTGGATGATGTCTGAGGCAGAGTTTACATCTGCAAGTTCACACACAAGGGCGACTCAAAATCGAATTTGAGTATGTTCATTTTTGCCCTCAGCTGCCGCTCACAAGATTCTCTTGTGAACCTAGCAATTTTATCTCATCTCACGCGTTGCAATCTACGATAGCGCTGTCCATTAGCCCTTGCCACCCTTGCGCCGCCGCCCAGACCCGCCCTTGCCACCCCCTCGGGAAGCCCCTTTCTCCTTCTCCCTCGCTGGTGTTGCCGGCGCAGCCACCTCCTTCTCACCCCCCTTCTCAGAACCTTCCTCCTTTTTCTCCCCAGCCTTTGACTCATCAGCCCTTGCAGTCCTATCTACATCACGCTTATCCCCTTTAATAGCTGCCCCAGCATCTTCCGTACTGCCCTGTGCCTTGTCCTTAGCTGCATCCTCGTTATTAGATGATGCCTTATCATCAGAAGCCGCCTTTCCTAACTTTACTTCCTTCTTGGGCTTCTCTGCAGCAGGCTTGAGGTTCTTGCGCATGTCATAAGCATCCTCGCTATCAGCATAGTACTTTGCCTCAATGTCGTTGATCCTGCCGAAATGGGGGCGGGGTGCGGTGAACAGGTTGAGCAGGCGAGGAGAAGGAGCGAGGACGAAAGAACTGAAAAAGAATGGAGGCATGGTAAAAGAAGTGGTTGCACTCTTGCTTCAAATCATGACTTGCACAAACTAGAAGAATAACCCATGCTAGCTCACTTGTTAACGATTGCAACTAACTTGCAAACATTGGAAAGTCACTCGTAACCAGAAGGTACCTCATTCGCTTTGAATAAACATACGCGTAACCAGATCGTGACTCACTTGTAACCGAGTGTTTCGGTGTAGAGGTGGAAAGCGGCCCGGTTGCTCTTCCTCACATGCAGCGACACGTACTCCGCTCCAAACACCTCCTCGATCGCATGCTCTGCACGGCAGGGGTCGGGTGACGGGGTACGGCAATATGGGATGAGACAAGACAACGGGAAGTGAGGGCATGGATGGGCAGTGACATGCCCTCGGCCCCAAACGCCTCCTCCGTCGCATGCTCTGCACGGCAGGGGTCGGGTGACGGGGTACGGCAATATGGGATGAGACAAGACAACGGGAAGTGAGGGCATGGATGGGCAGTGACATGCCCTCGGCCCCAAACGCCTCCTCCGTCGCATGCTCTGCACGGCAGGGGTCGGGTGACGGGGTACGGCAATATGGGATGAGACAAGACAACGGGAAGTGAGGGCATGGATGGGCAGTGACATGCCCTCGGCCCCAAACGCCTCCTCCGTCGCATGCTCTGCACGGCAGGGGTCGGGTGACGGGGTACGGCAATATGGGATGAGACAAGACAACGGGAAGTGAGGGCATGGATGGGCAGTGACATGCCCTCGGCCCCAAACGCCTCCTCCGTCGCATGCTCTGCACGGCAGGGGTCGGGTGACGGGGTACGGCAATATGGGATGAGACAAGACAACGGGAAGTGAGGGCATGGATGGGCAGTGACATGCCCTCGGCCCCAAACGCCTCCTCCGTCGCATGCTCTGCACGGCAGGGGTCGGGTGACGGGGTACGGCAATATGGGATGAGACAAGACAACGGGAAGTGAGGGCATGGATGGGCAGTGACATGCCCTCGGCCCCAAACGCCTCCTCCGTCGCATGCTCTGCACGGCAGGGGTCGGGTGACGGGGTACGGCAATATGGGATGAGACAAGACAACGGGAAGTGAGGGCATGGATGGGCAGTGACATGCCCTCGGCCCCAAACGCCTCCTCCGTCGCATGCTCTGCACGGCAGGGGTCGGGTGACGGGGTACGGCAATATGGGATGAGACAAGACAACGGGAAGTGAGGGCATGGATGGGCAGTGACATGCCCTCGGCCCCAAACGCCTCCTCCGTCGCATGCTCTGCACGGCAGGGGTCGGGTGACGGGGTACGGCAATATGGGATGAGACAAGACAACGGGAAGTGAGGGCATGGATGGGCAGTGACATGCCCTCGGCCCCAAACGCCTCCTCCGTCGCATGCTCTGCACGGCAGGGGTCGGGTGACGGGGTACGGCAATATGGGATGAGACAAGACAACGGGAAGTGAGGGCATGGATGGGCAGTGACATGCCCTCGGCCCCAAACGCCTCCTCCGTCGCATGCTCTGCACGGCAGGGGTCGGGTGACGGGGTACGGCAATATGGGATGAGACAAGACAACGGGAAGTGAGGGCATGGATGGGCAGTGACATGCCCTCGGCCCCAAACGCCTCCTCCGTCGCATGCTCTGCACGGCAGGGGTCGGGTGACGGGGTACGGCAATATGGGATGAGACAAGACAACGGGAAGTGAGGGCATGGATGGGCAGTGACATGCCCTCGGCCCCAAACGCCTCCTCCGTCGCATGCTCTGCACGGCAGGGGTCGGGTGACGGGGTACGGCAATATGGGATGAGACAAGACAACGGGAAGTGAGGGCATGGATGGGCAGTGACATGCCCTCGGCCCCAAACGCCTCCTCCGTCGCATGCTCTGCACGGCAGGGGTCGGGTGACGGGGTACGGCAATATGGGATGAGACAAGACAACGGGAAGTGAGGGCATGGATGGGCAGTGACATGCCCTCGGCCCCAAACGCCTCCTCCGTCGCAACGCAACACATGTGAAAGGGATGAAGGGCTGGAGATGTAGCACCACAAACTTCCCTCCAAACACCTATCCCATTGCGTGCTCTGTGGGTGACGAGGAGGTGAGACGAGACAAGAATCAATAAACAACTCCTTATCCTCCTCCTCCGTCGCATGCTATGGAATGACGGGGTATGGTACAAGACATGGGAAGTAAAGAGGATGTTGGTGTGGTGTGGGCGCACTCACAAAAGTCACATTCGAAGCCCCTCGGGAGTCTTCCAGCACTCACGAGCAGCCGTCATGAGCTTGGTGGTGAGCCCCGGCTTGCGGTGAGTGCGAGACACGGTTAACAAAGTGCACACTCACAAGCAGCAGTCACTCGTGAGTCACGAGCAGCCGTCATAAGCTTGACGGCGATCTCGTGTTCGTGGGGTCGCGCTGGAGGCACTCCTATAGGTAAATCGTCTGGCATGATGTCTTTGTACTCCTCCAACACCTTCTGTACCGCTGCAGGTAGCTCCCAGTTCGGCTTCTCCTCTTTTGCTGCCATTACCAACGCCAGGTAACCCGTGTTATTCTCGTTCACCGTTCGCTCGAACTGTGCAAGTGTCCCCTCCGGAATATCCCATGTATCCGACCAGCTTCGCATCTCCACACGTTTCCGGTTGTTGTAAATGCAGGCTCTCCGGTTGACCCGGTCTATCTCGGGGTTGAACCGCTTCAGAATATCTCTCCCCACAATAATATATAGTCCCTTGTCGTTTGTGACGGGCAGTGTCCGCTTCCACCTCAGCGCACCTATTTGTAGCCGTAGCGTTGACTCGCCGTGGATGGGTAGCTTGCTATCGTCCACCATTGTTGCTGTGAAGTAGGTCTCCTCCGAGGACTCCCCAATTTTCTCCAACGTCCCACGGTCGCACAATGAGTGGGACGCTCCACGTAGGCCAACTTTGCCAATGCCTCCGACGGCGAAGCTCGCGCACCTGCCAAGCTTCGCCGTCGAGCAGCTCCCCTCGACTTATTCGACGCTGCTCCGTCGAGCAGCACATCTCGACCGGCACGTTGACCAGGACCTGTCAAACAGAACATGTTCGACCACCACCTTGGTCGACCTGGTAGCTCCGAAGACGGCGTCGCCCTGGCGGTAGGAGCCCGCCAACTGCTGCACATGCTCGTCGACCAGCCTGGTCGATACCGTCCGCCGACTTTCCCACGTCAACGTCCCCACAGGTCGACGAACTCCTTCGTCGACCACCCAGGTCGAACTCGACCGTTGATCTTCTTCATTGGCGGCTTTGCAGCGGTCTCCGCAAGTCGACTAACTCTGTCGACCTGCTCGCCTAAGTCGGTGTCGATCTCTGCGGGCAGTCGGCTGCAACTCCCGTGCACCTGACTGCGTAGTCGGCTTTGCCCAAGCGAGGGCGGGGCCAACTCCCGTCAACAGCCTTCACCTTGTCGGCGTTAACACAGTGGTCCCGCCGAAATCGACAAGCTCTATCGACTTCCTTCCCAAGGTCGGTGTCGACCACTGACAGCAGCCGACTGCACCTCCAGCACACCTGACTGCGGAGTCGGCTTCGCCCAATCGAGGGCGGAGTCATTTCCCGTCAACAAGGTACCCCCACTGAGGATGAAGAATAGATGGAACATTGCTTTTTTGAGCGCCGCATTGTCCAACCGTTGATGCGGGTAGTGGTGAAAGCGACAAACATGTCGAACCCATCGAGACAAGTGGAGTGCCTAGTGGATTTGATTTTCGAAGTAGAAAGCACAAATTTGGGGTTTCTCTTAGGCAAAGGTGGTATTAACCATGCACCACCAAGTTTGGTTGGAAAGATGCGGGTTGGCTTTCAAGTGGGAAAGATGGAGCACGAAATGGATTTTGCAGACGATCAGCGTCAGGTTATGCGCGCATGCAAGGATTTACGTTGGCCTGGCGCGCTTGCATGGAGTTCAAGGTGCGGCAAACGGCTGGGAAAGGGCATAGGTGGCACTGGAGAAAGACGGGTTACAATGTATGCGGCAGATTTAGGACAACAAGGCGAAGGGGATCAGGTGGAGCGGAGGTTTTCAGTCCATCTAGACAAACCCACGTACGCTCTAAAAGCCTCCGTAGGTTATATGGGAGGGGCTCGGGTGGACGGGCTTGGCTCCTTGTGAAACAGTTACGACTACTGATGGATCGTGTATGATTGTATTGCGGAGAGTCACTATACACCGGTAGGAGCTAGACTACGGGCAAGGCACTGGTGATCGTAGCGTTTCTTGTGTTCTCTAGCACTTGTGCGTTCACGGGGCAAAACGGCAAGAGTTTCACTAGCAAAACTTGAGAACAATGATACAAGAATGGTAGATAACAATGACTACATCAGATCCAAGGTTTGCCTAGCAGACAGGCAGGTCGACCACCAACGCAGCAAAGTCGGCGACCTGCCAGCACTGCAAGTCGACACCGTGCCAACGCTGCAGAAAGGCGGCCTACCAGCATTACAACTGCATGTGACAATAGCGCACATGCGCGCACCCAGTTCGCAAGTGCGGGTCGACGGTTAAGCACATTGTGCACCGCCACCAACGTTGCGCAGGTACCAAGTCGAGCAAGTTCCGACGGTTGCGCCTAATGAGCCACGTCGATCTCGGGATACCAGCCCGAGGTCGGCTTCGCCAAACCTCCTGGGTGACAGTCGCGCACCCCGTAGAACCTCGTCGCCCAGGTAACTTGGTCGACCGGGAAACCGCCAAGTCGGCGAGCCTGCCAAATGATGTACGTGCTCGTCGACCGCCAGGTCGACGCCACCCGCCGGCTTCACCAAGTCGGCGCCACCGCTTGCCAACGAACCCCTTCGTCGACGACAATAGTCGTAGTCGGCCGCCGACTTCCCGTCGTCGCGATCATTATCGTTACGCGTGATCATTCTCGTTCACGCTCGACAACTACACAAAATAAGCGAATTCTGGTGACAGCTTCAACCAAAATTTCAAGAACGATGCCTCGGCCAAATAGGCTACACTGGGTAACCTACTTGATTTATCGCGCCTCGGGGGTCGAATGTCGTTTTTTCGACCCTCGACGTAACATTTTGAATGACCTGGAAAGAGGCCCCGCGGCTCAAACCTCCTAAAGTCTGATATCCGACCACAAAATCTAACTTCTAAAAAGGGTCAAATCCGATTTAAAAAACCAAACTTTGAGTTTTGAGCCAAATGCACCGCGCCCTAAGTTTCTACAAACTGAGCGTTGAGTATCGAAATCTATGATAGCGCGGACCAGGTGTAGGAGTGGCTGAAAATCTCACGCACCAGCGCTAGTTTGTCGCGTGGTGCGTTTTTTCCCGCAACTTTCAAGCCTAATCAGCGCGCTAAATCCAAAGCACTGTAGCCACTTGCTTACAAGCCTGCTCCAGCTCCCAACTTCTGCTCTGTTGGACAAACTTTTGGCCGTTAGTTCCAGCGGTTTGGAATTGGGACCACTCATAAACCCGTGGGAGCGGGGAATTCCCTGATTGATCTTCGAGTAAAGAATCATTAGCCTTCTCGCCCCACACACACCAGTGGCAACAGCATCGTAACGTAAAGCTGACGAAGCAGCAGCCAATTGCCAGTTCCCGGCAGAACTACAGTAACCATAGGAATTCTTGTACACACAGTATTGTATTTTCTAAAGTCACAGCACCTCTCGATCGACAAGGGGAAAAGGTATGTGACTTCCCTGTATGTAAACGATAGGGTAATTTCGAACCTGTGGCCTTCCCAGACAGAAACCAAGAGTCCCACGTGGTCACCTCACATCACCGCCAGCTTTCAAACCCTACTTTCAGAATGAGCTCCATTTAGCCCTCTGAAACTGACCAACGACCACTACTATAAGCTCATTACGGATCGCCAATACCTGCCAGCTTCGAAATGCTTTCTTCCATTTTTTTAGCACTGGTAGTACAAGCCATGACAGGAGACACCCGACCACCGATCAAAGCCAGAGTGCAACAGAGACGGCAATTGAGTGGAGGGGAATGCCTGTGCCTGGCTGGAAGGCGCCGCGCACGGTGCTGTAGTGGCACTAGAAGGAGCCAATCGCATTATGAGCCAAGATGTTACATAATGGCACGAGCCCACAGTGGATCCACGGTAAAAAAGAATCTTCAGTCCATCATTGCCCTTCCCTTCCCTTCCCACGCCCAACCTCACAGTCGCTGTCACGTGGATGTAGTGGTTAGCGGAGCAAGTCACGAACGAATCACGTCCAACCTAACAGTTGGGCGTTTCCCCCACCGACCAGGGTTTCGTTTCCACTGCAGACTCTACAGCACACGTGATTTTTTTAGGGTTGCTTGAGAGCAGGCCTGTCGTTTGGTTTTGGGGCACCAGGACAAATCCGGAGGCCCGGCATGTACGACCCTGTATTTAGCGGGTCGGGGCGAAAATCCCGTAGCCTTGTTTCCACCCTAAACCCATCAGCATCCTCCCTCCACTTCTTTCATCATCAGCTACCTTTCTCCCTCCCCCTTTTCCGCTCATTCTCCTCCCAGAACTGATCTCCTACTAAACGAGCAACGCTACGCAACTCTCCAATAGCATTTTTACATTCATCAATAAGTGCAGCTGGATGAAATTTTGGCCCAACCACGAACTCTAGATTTGCCAGGTTGGATGCAACCAGAGTAGGACAGAGCGGGTTGTAGACCAGGTGGATAAGAAAAAAGGGGGGCGGTGGTGGGGCGGGGAGGGGGGGCTCGAAGATCTCTTGTTCCAGGGCTCGCCTATATCCTTCCCTTTAAACACCAGGAATGAGCCCGAAATCAGCCCTTTACTGAATCAGGGCCAGAATCTCCGCAACCCATAATTTTCAGGCTTTGAAGGCCAACCTAGCCCTGGAATTCAAGGCCCAGCAGGGCAAACGCCCTGCTAGCGACAGCCCTGCTCGGCAGTCACCGTGACGGTGAGCTTGAAGCTGCATGGGCTCGACAGCTTTATCAAGAATGAATGGGGGCCGGCTGTTGCTACTTGGTGTATAGTATGTCGTAGCACAGGCTGTGCTAAGGAGTCATTCTTTTGCTTCGTTCTCTAAAGTCTGAGAATTGCTGAGCAATACCCTTCCGGGCCGTGACACCAAACCCCTCAGGCGAGGGCTGTCTGGAGGGCACTTCTGGGTAACCGGGAGGTCGATCCTGCTATGCCCCACGGAAATGGCTTTGAAGTTGGCCACACCGAGTTGGCGCTTGGCGAATCCACAGCAAGCAACTGACCCTCGGCAAGCAAACCCTCAGCAAGCTACTGACTCCAGCAAGCAAATGACCCTCAGCAAGCAACTGGGCCTCAGCAAGCGGCTGGGCCTCAGCAGGAGTGGGGCAGCTGTGAGCCGCGCCAGCGGCAGGAGGTTGGGAGGCGAGGGCTGGATGAGGTGGTGGCGAAGGTGGTGGCCTCCGATGGGCACAGCTGGCTCAAGTATGGTCAGAAGAAACTGCGTCAATCCAGTGCCACCAGGTCAGCCTCCTCCCGTTGACTTGAGTTGACCCTGCTTGACTTTCATTGACTCCAGACTCTGGAGCGCTTCCGTTCATTTCGGTTGAGCATAATTCCAGTCATCCCTTGTCCATTCTTGTTGACTTATACTGAATCCTGCTGACATGCCCTTGTGCTGTTGCGAAAACCACTCTCCTTGCCCCAACAGGTGCTACTACAAGTGCACTCTCTCCAAGGCCATCCCTCGCGGCTGCCCTGCCAAGAAGACCGTCGACATCAAATACCCCGACTTCATTCAAGTCACCTACCGATGCGGCCTCCACAACCACCCCGCGGCTCCCAACCGGCGTTGGCCTCATCAACCTAACATCCCCTTTACAAACCGCCCTACCGACCGCCGTATCAACCTTCCGGTTCTACATGGGGCGGTTGCCTCTGCGACACCCGGCGTCATTCGCCTTGGTACTTCCTGTGGCGACCTGGAAGCCCTTGCGCGATCCTTGCAGCATGAGAGCGTGGGAGTGATTGCTGATGGCAGTGCTTCCAATGCTGGGTGTGCTGCTGTTGCTTCTGATGGTGCTGCTTGTGGTGGTTCTGTTCGTGCTCGTGCTGGTTCTGGTGCTGGTGCTGGTGCTGGTTCTCCTGCTGCTACTGTTCATGGTGGTGACGGTGCTGCTGATGCTGCCAAGGCTGCTGTTTGTGCTGCGTCTGCAGCCGCTGCCGCCGCTGCTGCTGGTGTTGGTGTTCGTGATGGTGGTGGTGGAGGTGGTGCTGGTACCTCAGTTGCTGCTTCTGCTGATGCTGCTGCTGCTGCTGATGCATATTGGGCTGCAGCAGCCTTCTTGCACTCCCCCTGTCAGGAGGAGCAGCCACGCATGCATGAGTGGCTGCGTACATGGAGTCTTCCTTCGGTTTTCCTCCTGCCGATGCACCTCCAACCATCTCCTCTCCAGCCAGCTGGGCTTATCCCCCCTAATGGCTGCTCCACAGACTTCAACGAAAACACCGCACCTGACATGCGGAGGCCTACAGTGCCTGAGGAAACGCCTTTCATCTATCAAGGAGAAAGTGAGAGCCATCAATTGCATGATGAAGAGGAGGGTTTGCTGGATGAGGCTTACTCTCTACTAGGAGCAAGAGCGCATATGGCCCATGGGCTCCAAGAGATTCCACCTCAGGGTAATCTCAACCATCACGTGGGACTTCTGTCGGGTGATTATGAACAGACAGCAACATATGAGGAGGAGCAGGCAGCAGGTTGTGTGGGAAACATCGCAGGGGATTCCTTCCTTACATCAGTTTGTGAAGGGCAGGGAAGGCCAGCACACCATTTCTTTGAATCACCTGAAAACGAAGTCCATCTTGCATGTGGAGTGGGGCACAATGGAGAACATTTTCGTCTCGTTCAGCCGTGTGAGGGGCAAGAGGAGCTGGTGCACCATTCCTTTGAGGCGCCTCAAAGGGAGGACAGAAATGAGGAGCCGGTGGATGGAAGTTCAGCAGTTACGCTGGCAAGACTGATGAGGCCTGTGGTGGGTGCTGCTGAGGCTGATGGCTGTGCTGCTGTGGGGGCTGGCTGTGCTCCTATGGCTGATGGCGGTGCTGCATCCCATGCTCCTGGGATTTTGAACCAGTGGGCTACACCAATGAGGCCTGTTGTGGATGCTGCTGAGGCTGACGGCTGTGCTGCTGTGGCTGATGGCTGTGCTGCATCCCATGCGCCTGGGCCTTTGACCCAGTGGGATGCGCTGCAGATGGCTTTCGGTTTGACTCACTATCCATCTTCACCTGACGGCTGTACTGCATCTGGTGCTCATGGGATTCCGGCCCAGCGAGATGGGCCGACACTGCAGCAGCAACAACAACAACAACAACAACAACAGCAGCAGCGGCAGCAGCAGCAGCAGCAGCAGCAGCAGCAGCAGCAGCAGCAGCAGCAGCAGCAGCAGCAGCAGCAGCAGCAGCAGCAGCAGCAGCAGCAGCAGCAGCAGCAGCAGCAGCAGCAGCAGCAGCAGCAGCAGCAGCAGCAGCAGCAGCAGCAGCAGCAGCAGCAGCAGCAGCGGCAGCAGCAGCAGCAGCAGCTACTACAGCAGGAACAACCGCCATCGAAGCACCAGAAACTGCATCTGGAGAGGCAGAAACAGCAACAACAGCAGCATCCGTCGTGGAATTTAACGGCTTTGCTGCTGTCGTTTGCCGATTCTATCACAGAGCACCCTGCCCTAGACATTCTCGAGACTTTGTCTGCTGCTGTGCCTGCTGTTCTCTCCAGCCCTAGTGTCTCTGCCTCACAATTTCTCACAGGCAACCCCTTTAAGTTGTCAAGTCAAGCGGGCATCGCCTTATGCCACACAGCTGAGACAGGGAATCCACATATGCTTGAAACTGGGCCGTCTCGTGGGCTTCAGAAGCGTCCTGCCTCAGCTGTGCGTACACCTCTGCCTGCCTCCCCTCCCTGTGCCCGTGCCGGTGCAAGTAACAGTGCCTCATGGGTTCGAAAGAAAGAGAAGCATGAGGAGCTGTATGCCATGGGTGCCGCTTGGGGTCAGCCTACTCTGTCTGCCTGCAACGGCGCCTGTACCCATGAATCCGCAGCTGCCCATGACTGCGCTTCTGCCTATGACTGCGCTTGTGCCCATGACTGTACATGTGCTCACAGAGAGGATGAAACGCCTGCGGAGTCTCGTGCACTCAGAAGTCGTGTGCCACCCACTATCGTGAAGGCGCCCACCCTTGCTGTGCCGCCAAACATCGTTGAGCCGCCCACCCTCATTGTGCCGCCCAACGTCATTGAGCCGCCTACCCTCACTATGCCGCCCGCCATCATTGAGCCACCCATCATCGTTGTGCCTTCAGCTGCACAGATCTGCCAGGCGGAAGACCCCAGAACACCCACAACACCCATTCCCACGCCCAGAGCCAGCAGCAGCAATTCTGACATGCCAAACAGCACCTGCTGCACACACCACAACAAGCACTGCCGCACCTGTTTCAAGGCCATCACAGATTTCAAGCCCTGCATCACCGGTTTCAAGTCCTGCTGCACCGGTTTCAACCCCTGCAGCCCCGGCTACAAGCCCTGCAGCACCAGTTTCAAGCCCTGCAGCCCCGGTCTCAAGCCGTGGAGCACAAGTGACACATATATTGATGTGAAACGCCGAAAGAAGCACTTCCTCCCTGTACTTGCTAACCCACAAGGCAGTGCAATCAAACGCCAACTCCGAGTGCGCGAGGATCAACTTCCCGGTGCATCAGTAGCTCTATCAGATGGTGTCGAAAAGCCACACCTTTCCAAGAACCCACCAGGTGCAGCAGCCATGGCAGATTGGGGTGTGTATGTGCAGGATGCAGCGGCTATAACCGATGGAGTTGTGAACATGCAAAGTGCGGCAGCCATGGCGATCCTAAGCAGTGCAAGTTCGATGCAAGAAGCTTTAGCAAGGCAGCAATTTCAAGGCCCCCTACCACCAAAGGACTCCAATCTCCGTGTGCCAGTTGAATCCACGCAAGCGCCCTCGCAGGGTGTTCAGCGTGTAGGCTTGGTGCAGCAGACACCCCCAAGCCAGCAGATTTTAGCACGTGCACCCATACGCCCAGTGCATAGGGTGGGTTCCGTCCCAGTTGAGGTGTTTCAAACGCCAGAAGTGTTTGCGCCTTTGATCCCAACAGACGTGCTTGCGTTTCTGGGAGGAACCAGCACTATTCGTGTTTCAGACTTTGCACCGGCTAGCGTGCGGCAAGAACTGCAGTCGTGGCTTGATGGTGCTTCTTAGACGAACAGTTTATTTCAACTCTGAGGTGTGACTAGTAGAATCAGTGTGGGTTTGCTGCATGTTTAGTAGTGTGTGTATTTTTCAGCAAATCTGCGTGTTCGGTGGTGTGTGTACGGTTTGCATTGTACGGTATATGTACTTATGGGAAATTTCTCATGTGTGAAGTCTGGTAAACAAACATCTTAACACACGTGTATCTGATATTTGGCTTTTCAGCAACGCCAAATCTGGCACAGAAATGGTTGTCCTTTGAGGCAGACTGCCTTCTGTGTTTTTTATTCATCAGCATCACATTTGCACTGCTGTAAGTACCTGCTGTATGGAATTCCAGTGGTCGTATAGACAAATTTTTGTCCTATATAAGTTCACACCATAGTTTCAGGCACCTCAGAAATAGGCTGGATTTCAGTATCACCAATACATAATTATATCAATAAAGCGGGCATCAATAGCCGTGTGCATGAATTTCCCGCTCAAGTTCACTATACCATGCCCATCCCTAATCCCATCCCCATACCCATACCTTCTCCATACCCATACCCATACCCATACCCATACCCATACCCATACCCATACCCATACCCTCTCCCATCCCTTTTCCCATCACCATGCCCATCGCTAGTCCCATCCCCATGCCCATCCGTAGTCCGATGTTTATGATATCCTTAGTCGTAATACCCAAGGCCATCCGGATCTCCATATTCATAACCATATAGAGTCCCATGCCCATGCCCATCCGTAACCCCATCCCAATACCATGCCTAATCCTATACCCATCTCCATCCCACATCCCATCCCCATGCCCATGCCTACTACCATCACCATGCCCTTGCATCTTCTAATCCCCATGCCCATACCTGCTCCCATCCTCATGCCCATCCCTAGTTACAGCCCCATGCCAATCCCTACTCCTATCCCAATGCCCATCACGACTCCCATCCCCATGACCATTCCTATTCCCATCCCTATGCCAATCCCTGAACCCATCCTCATGCCCATCACATCTCCATCCCTACTCACACCATTTCTAGTCCCATGCCCACCCCTTTATATTCTCCCACCAACATGCCCATCCTTGCCACCCTTTAATCACCGCGACCACCCCTTTTTTCAATCCTATGCCCATTCCCAGTCCCATCCACATGCCTATCTATACCCATCCCATTTCCCTATCCCACCACTTTTCCCATCCACATGCCCATACATAAACCCAATGCCCATCCCTTGTCCCATCCCTATTTCCATCCCTACTTCCATCCCTTATCCCAACTCCCATGCTCATGCCCATCCATTCTCCCATCCCCATTCCCATCCTTGCTACTGTATGATCCCCAGGGCCGACCTTTTTCCAATCCCATTCCCATCCCTAGTTCAATACCCATGACCATCCCTTTTCCAATCACATCGCCATCGCTAGTCCAATCCCCATGACCATCCTTTTCCCAATCCGATCCCCATCCTGAGTCCAACTCCCACTACAATCCCTTCTCCATTCCCATTGCCATCCCTAGTCACATCCTCCCACCCATGCCTGCTCCTGATCCCAACCCTTTTCCATTCCCATGCCCATCATTAGTCCCATTCCCATGCTGCTATGTAATCCCATCTCTATTCCCATCCGTATTTTCATCCCCATTCCCATCCCTAGTCCCATCCGCATTCCCATCTGTGGTCTCATCCCTAGTCTCATCCCCACACCTACCTATGGATTCATCCCCATTCCCATTCCCACCCAATTTCCCATCCACATGTCAATACATATACCCATCCGCATGTCGATACATATACCCATCCGCATGTCCCTTCACCATGGCCATACATATTCCCATCCACATACCCATCAACCCCATGCCCATCCTTTGTATCATCCCCATGCCCGTCCCTAGTCCCATCCACAAGCCAATCCCTAGTCCCATCCCCATGCCCATCCCTAAGCCCATCCCCATGCAAATCCCTACTCCCAGCCCCATGCCCATCTGCACTCCCATCTTCAGGCCAATCCATACTCCCATCCCCACGCCCATCCCTAGCCCCATCCACATGTAAATACCTACTCCCATCGCCATGTATATCTCTAGACCCATCCTCAAGCCCATCCCTACTTCTATCTTCATTCTAAGTCCCATGCCCATGGCCCATCCCTTCCTCCATCCCCATGGTCATCCTTGCTACTGTCCAATCCCATTAACCACCTCTTTTCCAATCCCATCCCCACTGCTAGTCCAATCCCCGTGACCATCCCTTTTACCATCCCCATACATATACTGAGTCGCATCCCCACACGCATGCCTGCTCCCATCATAATGACCATGCTTAGTCCCGTCCCCATGACAACCCTTTATCCTATCCCATCGTCACACGCCTAGTCCTATCACCATGCCCATCCCTGGCCCCACATTCATGCCCTTCCATAATCCCATCCACATGCCCATCCCGCCAATCCCCATTTCCATAAATACTCACATCCCCATGCTCAGCCCTTTCCCCATCCCCATACTGATCAGTGGTCACATCCCCGTGCCCAAGCCTACTCCCATCCCCATAAACATCATTTTGCCCATCCCCATGCTCATCCCTAGCACCACATTACCATCCCTTCCCAATCACATGCCCATCCCTAGTCACTTCCTCACACTCATGCCTGCCCCAATTCTCTCATGACCCTATTTTTACCCATACCCATCCCCATACGTAGTCCCATGTCCATGCCCATCCCTAGTCCCATCCACATTTCCGTCCCTGGTGGCATCCCCATTCCCATCTCTAATCCCATCCCCATTCCCATCAATAGTCACATCCCCATTACCATCCATAGGCCCATCCTCATGCCTATAATTAGTCCCATCCCCATGCCCATCCCTATTCCCACCCCCATGCCCATCCCCATTCCCATCCCCTGTTACCTGAAACCTGTCAAAATATTCAAGCATCGTGCGGATACATGCTCGTGTGCAAACACCAACACCAGGCATTCGGTGGAGGCTAAATCGTTAGTGCCTAAAACATTCTAGCGGAAACTCCCACTACAGAGGGCAATAAGCTATTTGGGCTGGTGGTAAGTAAAAGAAACATGTGCTTGTGGAGACAATCAAAATCCGCAAATTCACTAGCGATCTCCCACCTGCGTGAATTTCTAAGGACATGGTGTAGCTCGCATATGATTTTGTTTATTGTAGACGATTCACTATTTCTAGGAAGCGGGGCGACTTGATAAAGGTAATTTGGGGCAATCTGCCGATTGCGTTCAATCGTACGCAACCGAAAGTGATCGATCGCGACCGATGGATTGCCCTTGATCGGGCGTCCTCGATGACACCCGCGATAGGTACACTACCCCTACCAAAATATGCTAGAGCTCTTCCCTACAGTGTACATTTGGGGCATCAAGTGAGCGATTGACAACATATATGGGCTACACACAATCGTGTGGTGCACGCTTTACGTATTTCTCATCAGGCAACGTAGCAGAAAGGACGTAGCTGTTGTGTGGAATAATATTTTATGTGCGACCCCAAGTCCATGTCAAGATTTTGGAAGGAAACAAGGGCACAGTACGGAACCAGCTACAGTACTCCTCCGCCTACCACCCGCAAACAGGTGGCCAAACTATGCAAACCAACCAGACGTTTGAGCAGTTAATACGCATCTGTCGAGATTAGGTAAGGAGAATACTTGGTCATTAGGTCAAGGGGAGGGGTACAAGAACAACATCGAGAGAAATTGTGTACCCCCTAGTGCTAACACCCATATAGCCTAAAGCACATAAGCATATATGTTTTGACACACCCCCATAGGCGAAATGGGGGATAGCCAGAGAAAGCAATGGTCACAAGACCAGTCAAGAGAAACGACAAAACAAAGCAAGCTCAGGGTGGATCACGAAGTCACCACACATTCTGAGCACAAGCAAATGGCCACAAGGCCAGTTCACATGCAGAGTTATATAATGCAGAACACAGAGCGAACATTTGGCCGTCGTCTCAGCTCTTGCAGAAATCCGGTTTTCAGATCTTGAACTGCGTACAAGCTCCAAGGCATTCAAGATGGCACAAGGAAGTCAAGAGTGCAAGGCATGGCCGGAAATACAAATATAAGAGAATACGTCAGCGTACTATTTTCAGGTTATCAGATCCTGATGTTGCCAGTCAACGTTCGTCAAACAGAGAAAGCAAGTCACGGGATCAGGCTACTCTCACACTTCAAACTCCTGTTCTTTACCAGAAGGTCCCTGGCTGTGTTCTTTTAAGCTCATCACGGCAACTCACGTTGAAAGGGATCTGCAGGCCATGATCAACGAGTTTTTGCACGAGAAGATATATCTCTGAATTGGCGGATCACGAAGAACTACCTGGCTTTTGCATAGCTACCAACGCGAGTAACAATGGAGACATTTCTTCTAACATGATCCTGGAAGACGAGGGTGATGATTTTATTTCAAACATGGTCCTGGAATTAAACGAAGAGGAGGTTGCTGAAGTTTCTACTATGATTCAAAGGAATGGAGGAGCAGAAGTTGTGGACTATGAGACAGATCAAGAAATTTTTATGCAACTTGATGATACTTGTCTATGGCGTCGTGATATGGCTGCGCTCGAGTCAGGAGGAAGGCCCCGAAGCATGTCAGGGAAGGTCAGAACGGGTGCAGCAGCTGCCGCAATTTTCATTCGAAGTCGTCGTCATAAGTTGTTGGGAACCAGATCTCTCCACCAGCAGTTCCGAGTTCACCCAACCACCATTGTCGCTGCAACCACTCTACACCGCATTCAAAACAAGGCAAGGTTGGCTCCAACCAAGCCTCATCACGCTCGGCAGCTCAAGTCCCAACCAAAGTTGAAGCTACGAAGAAGGCATGAAAGCGTCAACATTTTTCTACCAGATCTCAAGTGTGGCAACTCTGCAAAGACAGGCCCAAACGGGCAAGACAAAGTGTTTAGGCACTTGAATTTTAAACCTCCCTAGGAATCTGGGAGGGTACGGTAGACACTTACGCTACCTATGCCCTCTAGCTCCGGTTACGACCGACGGTGTTTTTGCGTTGTACGTTGTATAATGCTCTTTCACCTACTAAAAAAAAAAAAAGCAACAGGTGCAGAGAGCGGTGTGACTGTGGTACTGTCGCGAAAGAAACAGCGCGAAGCACCTGAGTCAAGCGTGAAGGTGTGCAAGGCCGCAGCAGACGCAGTACCAGAGAGAGCAGACTCACTAGCACCTAGAGCTGCAGCCTCTATACCTGGGTCTAGCGGCATACACAGGTAACAGTCACCCTCAGCACTAGCAGTCAATGCATACATGGCAGCAAGGATAGCATCATAATCAAGAGCAAAGATATCCACACCCTGCCTAAGCAGCTCTGCCCAGCGGAGGAGCTCAGCAGCGGCGGGAAACTCTGCGCGAAAGGCGTCGTCAAGACGGGAGAAGCAGCGGTACTGGGTGTGAAGCTTCCCGCATGTCTGACCAGAGCGGTCACCTGTGCGAATGACATACGGGCAGCGACCTCCACCCCCAGCCGCCCCACGCTGAGCAAACCACTCACGAAGCTCCTGAGGCGAAGGGGTCTCACGCTGACGCTGCTGCTGCTGCCTCTGACCACCGCCAAAGCCTCCCCGCTGGCCGGTACCACCCCGGCCGCCACCACTGCTGCCGCCTCCACTCCCACTGCCGCCACCACTGCTGCCGCCACCACTCCCACTGCCGCCACCACCGCCGCCACCTACGCCTCCACCCCCGCCACCACTCCCTCCGCCACCACCGCCACCTCCACCGCCCCCACCGCCCCCACCACCCGTGCCTCCCTTGCCCTTGCCGTTGCGGCGCCTCCCACTAGGAGCAGACGCGACTCCTACCTCTTCAGCACGAAGGTTGTCAACACCTGCAGCAGAGGCGACTGAGGGGACAAGGGGGGAGGGGGAACACCCCTCAAAGAAGGGAGTGCGAGGAGTGCCATGAGAAGCGCCTACAGCGACTATGCTAGTATCAGTTGCAAGGAGGTGCTTCTCGAGCAGGTCGACAGTGAGGGCTGTGGGGTCAATGGCGAGAAGGAGGTCCCTGACTGCGCTAAGAGAGTCAGGGAGGCGGGTGACGATGTAGTAGAGCGTGATGTACATGGGAGGAGGGTTCTTGGCTAGAAAATCGGCGGGAAGCGCGGCTCGGTAGCGGACGTCACTAGTGCGAAGGTGAGTGACGAGGTCGGCGACTGTAGCAAAGGCGGGCAGCTCTGGGAACAGGTAGGGCAGTATAAGACGGCCTAGAGCAGCAGTTGCCGGGGAGGAGTAACGAGCGACTACAGCGTCGTAAAGGGCTCTAGCAGTCTTGTGCTGGCCAAAGTGAGCACGCTCGGCTAACGGCAGGTGGTTGCGAACGGCTAGGCGAGCAGCAGTATCACGGGTAAGCCACTATGAGCGAGTTGCACTGTCAGCGGTGTCGGGAGGGGCGAGAGAGGCGCCAGACGTGAGGTCAAACAGCGAGACACCGTCCTTAGAATCGCTCAGTAAGTACAGCTGCAGGTCATCTAGCCACGCGTCGAACTGTATCGGACGGCCCTCTGCATCGAACGAAAGTACACTGAGAGTGGCCATAGCGGGCAGAGCAGTAGGGTGCGCTAGCAGCAGGGCAGCACGCAGGCAGGGCAAAGCAGGGCGGTGGCCAGCAGGGCGGCTCGCAGGCAGAGCAGGGCAGGGCGGCAGTCAGCAGGGCAGGGTGGCGCGGCTGTTAGCGGCGCTCAGGCAGGGCAGGGCGGCGCGGCCAGCAGGGCAGCGCGCGGGCAGGGCAGGGCAGGGCGGATGCCAGCAGGGCGGCGTGCAGGCAGGGGCACGTGACGAGCAGTGCAACAGTGCGGGGCAAGGCAGGGCAGCCGCGCTTGCAGAGCAGCAGCGCGGAGCAGGGCAGGTGCACGGGGCAGAGCTTACACGTGCAGGCAGGGCAGGGCAGCCGCGCTTGCTGGCACTACACTGTGCAGGGCAATGACAGTAGTGCAGTAGCAGTAGTGCAGTCGCAGCAGTAGGGCAGCAGGGACAGCGGGCCGGCGAGGTGCAGGGCCAGTGCAAGTGCACGGGCGGCAGGGCAGGTGCGCACGGGCCTGGCGCGGGCTGTACGGACTGCGCGCGGGCTAGGCGCCGGCTGTACTGGCTGCGCGCGGGCCTGACGCGGGCTGTATGGGCTGCGTGCGGGCCTGGCGCGGGCCGTACGGGCTGCGTGCGGGCCGTGCGCGGACTGTACGGGCTGTACGCGGGCGGTGCGCGGGCTGTATGGGCTGCGCGAGGGCGGCGCGCGGGCTGTACGGGCTACGGGCTGTATGCTCTATACCATGTCGAGATTAGGCAAGGAGAATAGTTGGTCATTAGGTCAAGGGGAGGGGTACAAGAACAACATCGAGAGAAATTGTGTACCCCCTAGTGCTAACACCCATATAGCCTAAAGCACATAAGCATATATGTTTTGATAGCATCAAGTGCCTCAATCTTGCTCGATGGGAAAAAAACTTCATGATGCTGGAATTTGCGTACAACAACGTGCCGTTAAGCACGACTAATCACTCCCCATTCTTCCTACGGGATGGACCCTACACTACCAATGCAACCAACCCCGACACTCCATTTCCCTGAGCCCAACAATCGATTGTTGAGTTAAGAAACAAACACAATTTCTTTATCGAAGCCATTTGCAAGGCCAACACCATTGCTCGCAAATACTATAATATATATCAACACAAACTTGTCATCACTATATGTCGACTAGTCTTCTTTGACACGAGGAGTTCGCCTGCCCGTCTCGTCGAAGTTACGACCACGCTTTTGCATGCCTTTTGCATGCCCGACGACTGCCATGTCCAAAGCGCCTTCCATATTAGCCTTCTATGGCCCTGTTGAAAAACCCCTCCTTGGTCGCTCCCCTTGGCTTGCTCTTCCTCCCTATACTCAGCGCACCCTTCTTC